CGGCCTCCGGAGCTGTCCCGTCAGCGCCTTCCTGCCCGGCCTCCGGAGCTGTCTGGTCTTCGCCCTCGAGCCCGGCCCCCTGAGAGCCGCGGTCTTCGCCTTCGAGCCCGGCCCCCTGAGAGCCGCGGTCTTCGCCCTCGAGCCCGGCCCCCTGAGAGCCGCGGTCTTCGCCCTCGAGCCCGGCCCCCTGAGAGCCGCGGTCTTCGCCCTCGAGCCCGGCTCCCTGAGAGCCGTGGTCTTCGCCTTTGAGCCCGGCCCCCTGAGTGCCGCGGTCTTCGGCCTCGAGCCCGGCCCCCTGAGTGCCGCGGTCTTCGGCCTCGAGCCCGGCCCCCTGAGAGCCGCGGTCTTCGCTCTCGAGCTCGGCCCCCTGAGTGCCACGGTCTTCGCCCTCATGCTCGGCCCCCTGACTCTTCCTGCCGCTGCCTTCGCCCTCATGCTCGGCCCCCTGAGTTTGCCCGCTGTGGTCTTCGCCCCTCCATGGACTCTACCTTGCCCCCGGGCCGTCCGCCCGAGACCCCCACCTTGGACTTTGCCTTGCCCCCGGGCCGTCCGCCCGAGATCCCTTCCGGGCCCTCCGCTGTGCTCCTGGGCTGTCAGCCCAAAACCCGTCCTCCGGACCATCTCCACCCACCCTGCTTGAGGTTTTGGACTTTTGTGGGGGTTTTTTAGGGACGTCTGGAATCCTTCCCTTGAGGGGGGGGGTTCTGTCACGATTCTCATGTAATGTCACGATCTGTCTGTGTTGTGTTTTGTCTTGTCTAGATCTGTCTTTGGTTTTCTGTCTGCGTTGTGTCTTGTCTAGATCTGTCTTTGGTTTTCTGTCTGCGTTGTGTTTTGTCTTGTTTAGATCTGTCTGTGGTTCCCTGTCAGTTTCCCTGGTGTGTCTAATTTACCCGATTGTGTTCACCTGGTGTCCCTGTGTTTTCTCCTCCCTCCTCACCTGTGTCTTGTTTGTATGATTAGTCTTGTGTGTATTTAAGTTCTGGTTTTTCTGTCTGTCTTTGTCGGTTCGTCTTTCGTTGGTGACTGAGTTCAGTGAATGTTCTGTTTTGTCTGTGTTAGTTTCCTTATCCTTGAAATAAAGGTTTATCAGAGTTATCTGCATTTGGGTCCTGCTTCCTTCACTCCACTGTGACATTGATACTGTTAAATAGTATTATAGAATGGCTATTCACTGACCATTGAATATTGTTTTGATGTAAAAATGCACATGTAGGTGTGAAATGTTGCCTGGCAACAGCTGCAGTTAGTGAAAGACAACAGACAAATGCTGCGAGAAGAAATATCAAAGTAGTAGGACATGGTCTACCTATGTTGTAAATCTATTATCTTTTCAATTTACACACGGCATCTATTGCGCGTCTGTCCGTCCTGGGAGAGGGATCCCTCCTCTGTTGCTCTCCCTGAGGTTTCTCCCATTTTTCCCTTTAAACTGTGGGTTTTCTCCGGAAGTTTTTCCTTGTACGATGTGAGGGTCTAAGGACAGAGGGTGTCGTATTGTCATACTGATATTCTGTACAAACTGTGAAGTCCACTGAGACAAATGTAACATTTGTGATATTGGGCTATATAAATAAACATTGGTTGACTGATTGATTTCAGAATGTCTTAGTTCTGTGAGAAAATATCAACTCACACAGAGTGAGTTCTCGTGTTCAAGTCAGAAACAAGCGTTTACCTCATGTAACCTCGGCCAATCACATGCCTGCTAATAAAAAGCTAAGAGAGCTGTTTTGTGTCCATCTTTGCATTTTGGCACCTTGTGAATATATGTTTAGGCTATAGTAGGTAACTCAAAAGTAAAATAATTGCTGCTGTAATTGTCTTTCATCTGAGTAATGAGTAAAGTAATTCCTTTGTAATTTGGAAAAGTAATTAGTAAACAGACATTGATTACCTTTTCTGAACCACACAATAACAGTGGACAGAACCCTTTTTTTCTCACTTTCTCGATGGGTTTTAATCGCTGGAAGAGTAATGAGGAATACAACGTTTATTTTGGAGAAGTGCCATGCCATATGTGCAACTGGGTGAATAGCGAATTCTTAATATTGAGCATTCTGTTTTTAAATCCACATCCTCTTGACAAAAAGCCAAATCTAAGGCAACGTATGTTTATCAATCACAGAGCATTCGGCGCTGTATTGACAAGTAGTCCCATCAAAGATTAATTGGAGAAGCAACCAGCAGCTCTGCCTGCTTGCTTTGAGTTTCTTTTGTGAAGCTACCATGCCAAGATGCTCACTGTGTGCTGTCTAATTGTATTGCCGGAGATATAATGATAGAACACAGGCTACCCAAATTAATTGAGGCTTGCCAGTCACAGCACAAATTATGCACCAAATGCTGCAGTGCTGCGTGTGAGAGAGTCACTGCACCAGAGCCCGAGCATTACAGTTAATGTAGGTGTAGATTATGGTCTGATACAGGGCTTGTTGCACTTAAGGAAAAGCTAACAAACAGATCCGTCCTGACACACAGGTGCTGTGATGTAATAACAATGCATCATTATAAAGCATATGGGCTTTTTCCCCCTCTCTTTTCATCATATCTGATCTATAACGCTGCATGTTGGTTTGAATACATATCAAAGTAACAGGTGGTACTCTTTATATAATGTCATCTGTGTGACCCCTTTACTTTGTATCTGCTCACAGGTTTGAAACAGTACTGAGCACAGACTCTAGCTGCAGAACTAATAGACTCTTGACTCTAAATAAGTAAATTACTTCAGGATTATAAATTCAACTACTAACGTGTTCCACATTATCATTTGCCTTTTGTAGGAATCTAAAATATGAATAGAATAATAACCCATTAAAAAAAAAGTTGAATTTGCTTACCAGCCTGTGAAAACTGTTGCAAGGGCACCAGCGCAGTGCATGATGTTTTACTGCCATCTGTTGCCAATACTTTCAGATGTTTTATGCAATAGTAATATTTTAATGATGATCCTTCCTCATTATGAATTGTCTGCAGGAGACTGTGAAGGAGGCACGTTCAAATAAGATTGTAAAGGGAAACACCTGCCATCAGGTTTAACAAATACCTCTGTGTAAAGGTGCTGTGCTGAAAATACTTGCAAGGTCCCTTACCATTGCAGATAATATTTCAGAAGTGAACCTCGGGAAAGTTGAATTAGTCACACCCCAGTCTCAGTGTAAATGAGGATGTTAGAGATGACAAATCACTTGTGATTAGAGCATTAGCCAGATGAAGAAATGCATAAATGATCATTGAGTAACTAAAAATGATCACAGCCATATTGTGGTTTTGCGTGTTTGGAGAAAATGAAATATTCATTCGTTTTTTTGTTTGTTTACCTCAAGTTGGGAATTTGCTATTGTCGGTCCTATGAGACTCTGCAATGAATGGTGCACAGGGAGTCCCAAGAAGAAATTACATAGCGTTTCATCTCAAACCCCAGCCTCCATTTCTTCTGATTCTCTCCTATGTTTGTTTGTGAAATATAGTCCATTGTGGTTTTGTGTTTGTATGTCTATGTGTGATGGTGATGAGGGCCTTTGGGGTATATTCCTAGCTATCTGGCTACTAGACCAAGTAAAGCAGTCATCTTTATAAATAGTCATCTTTGCCATAGAGCAAGACCAAAGTAAGTTAGCCTGGTGGAGCATTCAATGTGCTCACGAGAGCTCATCAAGTAACATCATCCTGTTTGCTTAGTGAGCATGCTCTCTGTGTCTCATAGGGACAGTCTTTGCAGCATTAGCAGTTTTAATAACAAGCTCCTGTAGTAACCTCAAAGATGTTGATTCACGTTTTTCCCTGGACGTTAGGTGGCATTTTACATCTTCAGTCTCAAATGTGCCCTAACGTATCAGTGTGTGGGACTGGCTGTGTGTACAAAGTAGCTCTTGAGATTTCCATACCTGTAATTAGTCCTACCCGAAGGTGTATTCGTGTGATTGCCTGAGGGAGACGTTCTGGAAGGCTGTTTCAAATTAGCAGGAGGCCGATTGCCCTGATTGTTTCCATCTGGCCATTATGGCAGATATTTCCTCAACATGATACGTAGGCAAAGAACGGTTGAATGAATATGGAGATTTGCAGATCTATGAACCTACGGAACAAAAGCGCGTCATATAGATTACTCCCACTTTGGGAATGGTGTTTATGCGCTTGGCACAGATTGGACCACCTTTTGCATAATGTACAACCATTCTGAGAGCCTGCTATTGTATGTTGTCGGTGTAAAGCCAATGATGAATTGGGGAGAGGCAATCACTTGACTTAGCTGGAATATGACACAAGTAGACCAGTTACTTAACATTATGGCTGCAACATTAATGACTAGCGCCATTGTGTATTTCCCCAGAGATACACAGAGGGTCAAATGATAAAATTGTCTTCCCTACTCATTAGGTTTATAATGTATATCTAGTTTGTGCCCTCATTTGTATCATTAATTAATCCTGAATGACATAATGAGCACTTTCACTCATTAAAATGTATTTGTTGCAGGCTGATTTTATCCTTAGAAATATTGCTGCTGTTAAATATATTTTATTTGAAACAGTAATGCATATCATGTAAATCCAACAGTTTTTGACTATCCTAATTCATGGTATATCTGTTGTTTGTTTACAGGCATCATTTTGTGAATGTTACATATCTGCTGGGAAACACAACAACTTAAAGAATATCACTGCAGCACTGAGCAGGAACATCCATGCATTTATTATTTAAATCCGGCTGTGGAAGCTGTTTTATATTTGTGTTGTCTCTCCTGGGGTTTTTGGACAGTGGGATAAAAACGCACCATTGCTTCCAACCCTATCCACCAGTGTATAACGTTTCACAGGAAATAGTGTGAAATGTATAAGTAGTCATACATTTTTACAGTATAGTCTCAATGGTCACATTAGCAGCTTTAATGCTGTGACCGCTTTGTTTGTCTCTCCATCATGTTTCATGCTTTGCTGGATTTATTTTCAGTGTCAGATATTTCAAACCCTGGTCTCTCTTTTCTCTCACAACAGATACAATCTGCCTGTTGGCAAACAAGGAGGGTCCTGTATGATTGAAATTGCTGCCGATAATGGCACAGCTCAGCGTCTCGAGGAGAACGTGTCAAACCCTGTGTCAGAGGTAACATGACTTGCCTGCAGTCAAATCGACCCTTTGTCACAATCACTTTCTTACCTTTGCATTTCTCACCCATGCCTGTTTTACCGTCTATTGAGACTACAGTTTACACACATTGTATGGTAGTTACATACAATCTGTCATGCTTAACTCCTGCATCCATGACTTAACGATTCAATTAAAAACATTAGATATAATTAATTCAGTATTCCTGTATAGCTGTATTATTACTAGTATCAAAGACTTCAAAGGTTACTGTAAAAAGTGTGGTTTGCCTACATGGACTAAAACACCTAGCTGCTGCATGTCAATATACAATGACAACATGAATTATATAGGAATCCTTTTTTTGCCTTTAATCACTTATAGGACACATGACAGAAACATTATGAACAGATTAAGCGTAGGTTATCAAAGCCAGGCGAGCACACTGTTTCTAGGTAACAGCAGTTGCTTTATGTTTGAGGAGCATGAGCTCCCGTTAAAGACGTGTTATTTGCCCAGATGATCACACTAGTACCTAATGGTGACATGTAAGAAGCACTAAGCTAGTTCTCACCTGTTAATCACAGCCTGTTTTTTTTCATTCTGGCTCATTAATTTGATTTACAACACCTATATTTGTTATTAAATTCATAATTTTAGTTTTTCACTTTCGAAGAGGCAGATAGGGACTCAACCTTCCCACAGGCTCCACATGTCTCAACTTCCTCCCTCAATGTATTTATAGTCTTTTAATTATAGATTTATTTTTCCCTTTTTTGTTAATGATACATTCATTACACAAATATCTTCCCTACTATTGCATGTTGGCTGGTCCTTAACTCTGAATATTAGGACTGTAATGTACAGTATCTATGAATGTTTACGATGATTTAAATGCTATACTTGAAATGTATCATATGATTTTTGTTTGGCGTTCAACACTAGTTAAATTAATCAGAATGCGGTTTGTGCACACTTTAGGGTTATAATTGCTGCCATGCAGTTGGGCTTTTAAAGTAATATCATTATATATATATATACAATATGGAAAAATAGAACTCTACATGTTGGAAAAGAGCTACTTAAGAAGCTTTTTTTCTGTTGGCATCATGTTTTTCAGTGTGACTTGTTCAAAATAGCACTACATTTGCATATTAATGCTTAATAGAAATAAGTTAATGAAACTGAGGACACATTGACTTGTTCTGCCGTCAAATAGAACCATAAAAATCAGCATATAGCATTCATGAACATAGTGCTCCAAGTCCACTCACAAAGTCATGAATATTACATATGTGGGTATTTCAAATGGGCTCTTCTCATAAACATGGTAAACACACTTAAAGGGACCATAAAGTCGTCACATGAGCCCATTGTCGTCATGCAGCTTCTCTGGCCAATAGCTGGATGTATCACATGAAATATGGTTCAGCTCATTATAAAAGTATCCAGCCACAGCTGCTTGTTTTATTTGAATCTTCAACTTTGTAAAAGATTGAAAGGCTCTTAACTCTGTGGTAAGATTACATTCCTGTGAAACCCTGTGCTCGTGTCTTTTTATAGGCTTTCTAATATGTAGCAGAGATGACATTAAAAGCTGGTGTTGATTGAACCTCACAGATGATTATGTCCACTGCAGCTGCCTGACACCTTTCCTACTTTCCACCAAGTGCTAGCATGGTGTCATGATTACTGTTCCATGTGAGGGACTTCAAAGTCTTAACAATTGTGACTGCTCAGATTTCAGAGCAGCTTATATGAATCTTAAAATGTCAGATTCTGTGTTTTCGTATATGTTCAAAGACTCAGGGCAGAATATTTATATACTATGTATGCCATATAAATTGGGATATCATCAGCATAACTTTGAAAATATTCACAAGATTTTACCTAAACAAAGCACATGGAGAACTGTGCATAGCACCATCATTTAGATTTATTTTTTCTTATCTAAAGCCTCTCATAACAAAATGTCTGTTATATGCAAAGCATTTAAATACATGACATGAGAGGAATACATTTTAAAGTGAGGTATTAAATGTAATGACCCTTTATATGAAAGCCAGTCTTTATATCTACCATGACCAGATTTGATATATTCAATGCTAAGAAGTCAGTACTCATTTACATGTTGGCAGCTGTGGCAATAAAAGTGAACATGTTTTGTTCATTGTTTTATTATTTATTTTATAGGCTTGAAAGCTTGAGGTGAGCCATGTGAAGATGAAAGGGTCTCAGTTTCTATTGAACATCATTTTTTTATATATTCAAATTATAATGGTGGGGTCAATACTTTTCATACATTAAAGAGAAAATCCCTTTGACCCAGGGGAGGGCTGTATTCTGAAGGCCATTGTCACAAGGTTACATAATCGGCTTGAATTATGCGTAATGAAGTTAGGAATGAAAGTGTTATGTGAACCATCTAAATAGAAAGTAGTATTGAATATTCATCTGAACATCCGGCGGTCAAAGAATTGTTTAATTTAGTTTTTAATATGATACCGTCTTGAGCTTAATTTTTTGAATTTTTCGCAGCTCTGCTTTGGTAACAGACACAATTATGCCTCACTTGTTAAATTGACCGTTATGGTTTGATAAGCAGCAAGTTCACAGAATGTATCTACATTAATTCTTCCCAATTACCTTACAAATCAGAGAAGGCTTGCAGCATTTCTTTGTTATTTTACCTCTCTCTTATTGTATCAGGCGTGTGTCTTATCATATGATGTCAGCAGGACAGAAAAGGAAACGATTATAACTCCAGTTTCGTGTCGAGGTCATGCTAAAACCGCATTAAGCTGAAGAGCAACAGAAGCTGATAGTGTTAATCTTTCTTGTTGATCTTAATATATAGTTAGGTCCCGTTAATGTAATAATAATGTTAATATAGTCACGCACACACTGATATTGAGAGCCTATGATTTAGTGTGACTTACTAAACGATAACACTGATGACTGGCTTTCTACCATTTTTTTTTTTGCAGGGAACCTTTGGACCCATATTTCTTGGGGATGTTTCATCCCACTGGGAAATGCATGATGGGAGTGCAAAGGGAGCAAGGAGATTCATTGGATGTATCGGGCAGCTTCAGGTCAACTCAAAAGAGATTTACCTGGTGGGTGAGGCTGTGAGCGGGAGAAACATCAAGAATTGTGACCCGCCTGTCTGCCAACACCTTCCCTGTCGTAACGGAGGAACGTGTGTAAGGTACTGGGTCACCTTTTACACTAATGAAATATCACCAAACTGCCTTTGAACTTAAATGTCATTAAGAATATAAAATACAGAGTTTCTCTAATGCAATTTCCCTCGATGATAATAATGAATGACCTGCAATAAATTACCTAAGCAATGAGGTGAGCTGCAGCTGAGTTATAACATACATGTACGTGCCGACAAAGAAAGAAGAATACCATTTTGCTAAAAAACAATGAAGATCATGAAAACGGTACAGTAACATGAGTGACAGGGTCATTACACGTTAGACCTGCTGTTTCCTCCCGCCTGTGTGACCCAGTATGAAGCAATACTGTAGAGCCAGATTCCACTTTAAATTGTTTTTCCAATCCCTACAAACATGAATGAGTTGTGGCTCTGCAGTCGGAGCTTTGAGCACACACTAACCCAGCCAGCCAGCTGGAAATGACAGTTTTGGCAATGGCTTCCCTCCTCCGCACCAACCATTTCTTAATGCAGAACTGTTCAGTTGTCAAGCTTATCTTATCTACATTGGACTGATTTTAATGTCAGCCTACTCCAGGCTAACAGTGCACTGTGAAATATTTGACTGGGACTCAGCAGAAAATTTATATAAATTGCTTGTTAATTGCATCAAATGCTGAAATGTTAATACTGATAACGAACCAATTTGCCCAAATGTCCTGCAGCAGTTAGTTATCTGGCTGAAGAGAAACTTAATGTTGAACAAATAAATGGATGAGATTAATACATGTATCAGAAAAGCTCCCGGGATTTTCCGTCAGAAGTTGGTGGAGACCAAAAGCTGAGCTAAAACTAGTGAACATTGAACATGCATTCCTTAAGGGGAATTCTGTTCAATGAGCATTTTTTGTTGTTGCTTTTCTGACCTTTTCTTTACCTCCAAAAAACAAGATATCTTTTGTAACAACAATTGGTAGTATTTCATTACATTGTTTTTATATAGAAATATGTAATGTTTCATCGTCAGTCACTTAATTGTTAAATAAGCGTAAGATAAACTCCACTTCTTCTATAAATCTTCACTGTTTTCATTTCCCAGTGAAGGCAATCCCTATGCCAAACTAAGTCCCTTCATGGTAGGCCAAATAATTATGTGCAGATCTATTCTCCCTTCATCGTTATCTAGTGCAGCTCATCCGACTGCCATCGCACCCCACTTACCAGCAATTGTGCCTCTTTCACCTGAGGTAATCCTGAAAATAGCTGCTCTAAATGTCTTCTTCATTGTGTTATATCACTGTTAATTAACCGTTGCATTTATTAAACAGGAAATAAAAAGGGGCGCCGTAAATTCCATAGTATGAATGGTTCTAAGAATACCAATTAAGAGCCGGTGGCATTGTGGTCACACTGGCTTGTCATGTGTAAAGGAGTGCACCTTGCAATTATCTGTGTGATGAATACACGTTAATGCAGTATCCTCTTGAACTACAAGGCATGCAGGGGTCACCCAGAGTGCATGGAGCTCTCTTCATTCTGTTAGTTGCCCTGGATTGCACTGCCGCAGTATAATAGGATGAAAAAGGATTTGGGTTGTGGGTTAATTTAGGGTAATATTGAGTCACTTATTAACCTCAGCTGCTGAGACCATGTCATTAAATAATACAGCACACTTTTCTTTTAAAAGACACAGTCATGCTAAAGTAATTTGTTGATGCTCTGTAACAACAAGATCACTCTTGAGGACATGTTTATATTTAATAAATTGAGTACTTGAATATTTGTACTTCTATACTAATATGACTAGCTTTGTAGTAAACCCACCTCTGTAGGCGTCTTCAGTAACAGCATGGGAGCTATGAATTGAGACCATCTATATTGCACCCAGCGATTTTCACTTACACGTTATTTATATTAAGTGTTAAAATTGATATGGAGCCATGTTTCTGGCAGCCTGATCCCGAAAGTCCAATATTTGTTTTGCTTTTAGTGCAATGTACTTATTTTAGATGCTAAATGCTTCACTTTGTTTTCTAACTAGCTGTTGATTTTGGTTTTCTGCTGCTTAGTGTTGAGCAGGTAGTGTATGGTTGTTGAGAGCAGTGAAAGTAACTCAAAATAATTAACTTGGCAGTTCAATTAAACAAAGAAAAGCTGAAAGACACTGAAATTCTGATGCATAATCAGGAAATAATCATTTGGATATATTAGGTAAGTATTGATTTTAACTGATTTTTATCATAATGGGAGTTTTTGTTTATTGGACTAAGAGACAGCAGATTGAAAGACATCACACAAATAGTTCCACATTTAGTTTACTGAGAGAATTATAGAAATATGTTTTCCTTCCTCAGCGCGCGCACACACACACACACACACACATGCACACACACACACATAGAGGAGAGATCATGTAGACGGTGATTCTTCTTGCTAATTGCCTGCAGAAGAGATGCTGTCTTGTTAGTTCTGTGATGGTCTAGCTTCAGCAGCACAAGCACACACACACACACACACACACACACACACACACACACACCTCCAATAAAGTCAATTCTCCCCTTGCTCCATTTCTCTGCCTGCAAGTGTTCCGCACAAAGAGAGCGAAACCAATTGTATCTTAATCAGAGTTCCAGCTATACTTGTTTCAAAGTACCCAAGAAATAAATCAAGGGCCAAGAAACAATTATTTTAATTTACCTTGAGAAACAAACATAGCTATCGTCCCGTGTGCAATTGTAGTCCCTGAAGAATATGTTCAGAGAAAACTTGCTCATTACAGAGTTCATTGCATTAGTGTCTTTGAATTTTGGAGGACAAGTGCATTCAAAACAACTTTTTTTTGCAGAATTGGTTATTTGTATACACAGTTTCTTGTCTAAAAAGACGTTTCTGTGTAACCTTGACATACTTGCATAATCATTATTATATAAGTATTCAAATAACTAGGGTCTCTCATGACTCAGTATAAAAACGTACAGGAACAGGAAATGCTTTGATTTGTCTTTTATAACTGACCTCATAAACAACAGAAAGAAGAAAAGCCCTAGGGGAAACTTCCGTGAACATTCAAGAATGTCTCATGCAGACAGTGCTGAATAGAAATGATGTTACCTAAAATGATCAGAAAGATTTTCTATCCGAGGCTACTATTTAGTGTTCAGGCTGAGGTCATCCCCACATTTAGTCAAAAGAAAAAACCCAAAGCATTAGTCATTCTATTAGTACTTTCAGATTTCTCTACCCTGCCTTCTGCTCTCATTCCTAAGCCCATTGATTCTTAGTAAATCAATGCCTCAGTAAAAATGCCTCAGTTATTTCCTTAAACAGCTGGACACTGTTGTTCTTAGCAAGAAAGATTTTAACAGGAGTTAACAGTCCTTTTTCAGGGGATTGTTTCTAAATGCGCACGGACAAGGGTGTAACTTTGGTTTGAGAAGTGGGGGGGACACAAAACAGGGGAGGGGGTCCAACGAAAAACGATTTGAATCCCATTTACTGCCTTTCTACAGATATGGTGTTAAAACATCCAAGCAAAATGTGTTGTGTATAATGAGTGTGTAAATATATCTAGTATCCAATCAATGTCAACCTGCTTTATTTGGGGGTGGACCTCACATCAATTAGGGGGGTACGGGGGCATGCTCCCCCGGGAACGATTTTTTTTTTTAAATGTTAAAGTTAAATTCATCGATCTGTGGCACTTTGAGGGGAAATTAAGGGATTTATGGATACAGCTCTCAACACTCATGAAACAGAACTGTATATATTTCAATAATCAAAAAATCCTTAGGATTACAAACAATAACAAATAATTTAAACTTGTTTATTTTATAAACTCCTCACTCCCTCCTCTCTCCTATCCTTATCTTATGTTACCTAGTTAGCATTCTTTATCATATTTATGCATATTTTACTAATCACTGCCCTTTAAACTGTATTTTTAAAATGTTACTGTCGTATAGTACACATTGGAATGATTTATTGGGCTGTGTAATCCTCCGTGGCGATGACCACTTGCGTAAATAAAAAAAAATTAAACACTATTGAAAAGTGGGGGGGCCATGTCCCCCCTGTCCCCAGTGGAAATTACGCCCATGCGCACGGATACAAATGTGTTGCCACAGTGAGTTTTTCCGGGTGGTAATTGTTATTAAGAATATTTCACCGTGTGCAACAACGAGCCAAACTTTTTGTTAGGTTTGTTTTTTAGGGCTAAAACAAGAACTTGTGTTACAGTTGCTGAGCATAACTCTGGATCTCAAAAGTGAAACAGCTTGGTGTTCTGGCAGCTTCATGACATTTGACCATAAAAGTAATGTAGAAAAGCGTTGTGATGTGAATGGTTTGAATTGGATTTGTGATGACAGCTCTGACTTTGTAATAATGTCTCAATTGAATTCATCAAAAGACACATAGCAATCATGTGACCTAAATTAACCCTAAACCTGGTAATTAGTATGTGCAGGACTCTACCAGGTAATTGCATGTTATCAATCACACAGCTATCTGCAAAATACGAAGCAACATTAGACACTAAATAATGTGGCACTAAATAATTGTTGTGATCAGTAATGTGTTGTGCCCCTGTGTTTGTTTGTACTAGCCTTTTGATCAATCATTGTTGATTTCAGTGGTTTGAGTTTTGGAAACTTTTGGAGAAACTTTTAGGTGAATTTGAGATTTGGTCAATGCAGATTTTGCCATCTCCAGTTAAAGGAACCCATTCTCTGCAGTCTAGAAAAGAACATCATGTTATTTTATTAAATCAGTAAAAGAGAGTCTTCAGTGTGTAGACCACTTTTCACTTAATAGCTGTATTTGCTTTCCTTTCAGACTTATGTTTTCCTTCCCCCCCCCGTGTTCACATCAGTGATAGTTTGAGATGTGTTTTTGTCTCCTTTCACCTTTTAATCACAGTTTCAGTTTTGGTTCAAACAACAATACAGCTCAACATGTTGTCTTATTTGATTTCATTGCAAAGGGTACGTCTGTTTCATAGAAGTTGTCTGGAACATTTGGCCTATGACAGTTTGCTGGTGTTAAAAGGAGAGAGCAGAACAGTGATGGAGCTATATCACAGCATGGAGTCTAAGGAATGGACAGGTTTTCGGTTTGAAGAGAAAAATACTTTTGATATAATCCCACCTGGTTGAATTGACGGTTGAGTAATACTTAAATCTCCAGCAAATACATGTTATCATCACATATTATTTATCTGTCTGAACCTGCGTTAGTCAAGAAATTATGAATAGTTAGGCACAACTTTATTTCTGATACATGGAGGCAATGCAGTTTGTTAGAGGACATGTTCTGCTAAGGATTTACCCTTTCAGAAGTTTATAAATCTTGTATAAGAATGTTATAAACACACCAGCACATTCGAGAAGTGTAGAGTTTAAGTGTGTGTGTATATACTTTAAAAGTGCTGCAGAGTGCAGTGTGTTCTAGTTTGGACCTTTTAGAAACGTTCCCTCTCACTTTAGGCTTCCTTTCTGTAAGGATTTCATTTCAAGTATCATTCTAAAGTATGCTTTGTCTATGGCGGTGTGTTTCAAAGAATACTGTTGTGGAGACTTACAGTAACAGACATCACCCTTCTTTGCCTCCAAGGAAACGTTTGCAAGGGTGCCTGGAAGAGGTCAGGAAAATATCGAACAGCCGTCTGCTAAAACAGGAGCCTGAGTGAGTCAGGTGGATGCCATGTGTAATACCTCTTCATCCCTTTGTTCATAATGAAATGCAGATGACAAACAATTGAGTGAAGAGTCAGTTGTCTTTCAAATGATTTCCCACCAAAGATCACAGTGTCCGTAGCAGTGTCAAATCGTCCGTTTGTAATGCAAATGGCGTTTCAGTACCAGAGCAGTTCTTCTCTATAAATAATATCTGCTAAACCCAGTGGTCCTTTATATTTTAACAACGGATGAAGTGGGCTAAACGCTTTCATCCAGAGAACTGAAGACTGCCATGGCAGCAGAGCCTCATCAAGGCCTTAGGATTGTATTTGCATACCAACAAGCACTTAAAAGGAAGTGTTCTGTAAATAACTTACAAGGGATAAAATGTGAGAAATGCGTATGGCCGAAGAGCTTATTGTTCTAGCTGACAGGGATATCATAAGCTAACCGGTCAATTATTCAGCATTTTATCTGGTACTCATTAGATAAAAAATGTAGTATTCCTTAATAATTTATCCAGCCCTTGTGCTGCAGCGGTATAGGTTTTGAACAGCGTGAGAGCACCAACTTCATGCCTTTGGGATTTACATATTTAAAGTGAGTGTGCAAACATTTCAACAATTACATAATCAAAGTGATTACCTCAGCCAAATTAAAATAACCTTTTGTCACCCCACACATCATGTTTTTTTGATTAAGCCAATTATGACTAAAGTGTTCTCAACTGTGCTACTGCGCCTCCTCTAGTTACACCTTGAGGAGACCGAAATATCTGCTGCCTGTTTTGAGTGCTTATTTTCATTACATATGAATAGTCCTGTTATATTTCATATTACCTTGTGTTACATGTTTTGTATTTTCTTTGGGATATTTGATCTTTTTGCTCTTCACACATCTAAAGATAATCTTGTTTTGTCATGATATATTTTAACATGTTGTGATTAATTTGTCTTTTTTTACAACCAAACTGCAACTCACATTAGCCTGTGTGTACTTAAAGGGGACCTATCATGCAAAATGCACTTTGTGATGTCTTTTATACATAAATATGTGTCCCCGGTGCGTCGGGGAACTCACGCAGCGTCAGAAAATAAAACCCTCTCTCTTTTCCTCCGTACCCAAATCTTTTAAAAACAGGGATATAACGAGCGGATACAGATTCACAGCCGATCTGACGTCAAATCGGCAGCAGACCCACAGACAATTGCTATCAGAAACAATGCCTGACGTGTTTTGGACGTAATCTCGTCTTTGTTTACATTAGCAAGCCTCACTAACACTCAGAGCTAACCTGTACTGGAGAGCACATGTGTTTAAAAAGCAGGAAATAAAAAATGAACTCACCTTGTGATAAACCCACAAGAGAAAAAGCATTTGAGCTCCATACTATTTCAGAAATAATCTTTGATGTGGTTTAGAACAGGATGGCGTTTTATCCCAGCAGAATTTAACTTTAACTATCTCCGGTAGAATTCTGATCAGTCATTAGCTCCGCCTCCTCTTTTTTTTTTTTTAAGCTAAGGACCCAAAATCCGCGTTTCTCTAACAGGGCTGCAGAAGAGGGGTATGAGCAGTATGAGGCATGGCTACAATGGGTGATCTGTTTGGTATTTTAAGCAAAAAACTTCACAGACATGTTTTGTATGGGAATGGCCCTACAATATATTTTTCCAATATAGCATAATAGGTCCACTTTAAGTAAGATTTAACACAATAACTTCATCTTGAATATATAAAATATGTAAATGAATGAATATTTATTTGATTAAATCACAAACGCAGTAGATGTGTCTACAGAAAGGCATGTTAAAGATCCCAGAAACATGAACATCTTGCCTTCACTCAAAATATGGCTTTTAATGTTGTGAAAATGATCTACTGTCATGGTTTCTATAGTATCAGATGTGTACTATACACAAGTCATTTATTTTAAAAAGATTTCTGTAATTTGAATAACGGTTTAGTTTGTATATCCATCCATCATATTCAGGGGGGAGTATTGGAGGATAAATAGCAGTCTCACAGCAGCCAGACAAACACATTCACAGTTACATTCACACCTACCATGAATTCACCTAACCTGCATGCTTTCTGACGGGGGGAGGAAAGTGGAGCATCTGGAGGAAAGCCCACGCAGTTTGTGTGTTGTCAACATTGAAACACAAACACTAACTGACAATGCTGGGGACAAATTAGCAGTACCCAAAGCATTGAAACACAGAGACTGCACCAGGAGATGCTCTATTAAATATTTGATTCTTCCTCTTGCAGGTTGTCAAAGATTATACAAATAGCAAAGTATGTTCTGTTCAACGCACGACAATTTTCATCTGTTGCTGTTAATTAGAAAATAGCGGTCACAATCGGCTATGAAAGTGTGCTCAGCTGTTAAATGTCTTGAAAATGACGTTCGCAGCCTGTTAATAATCACACACTAGACATTTTTACTGCATGATACAAAATCCTTTTATATTTCAATACAGTCAGATCTAACAATGCTCAACTTCGGTGACAGAATGTAAATATTTTATCTCAAGAAGCCAGTTTCCTTAAGAGCAAAATACATCCTCCAGTGCTGCTGCTCAAAACACATTATTAATTTATAGATTTGAAACCCCACCAATGCTTCCTCTATCTGATGATATACCTTTCAAAGCTGTGCACATCTTGGTGCTTTTAGTCTGGATATTACTTTGTATGCTAGATCACCCTCCTTCTAGCTAAGATAGGCAATGCATGCATTGAGGAAAAAATACATGGTTATACGTTTTCTGACATGCTACTAATCTCTGCTTTCTGCTGTTATTTTTCAGGCTGCGTTGGTGTTTATCTTCACCCGAAAGAAGTAATTTCTGCCTCTGCAGCAACTGCTAAGATGAATAACTCCATAACAAGATTCTTATTTTTCTCCACCACATGTTCACTCCAATTCAAGTGTTTCAGCAGATCTCATATATATATATATATCACAAGGAAGATCAGGCTGGACACATTTATTTGTAACATCTTTTCAGGTTCTTTCCATGCATCACAGGGTGTTCTATCACTCATCTCCGTGTGTGTTGCCACTGGACATGTTGCTGCAATGTCATGGTCCATTTTCACCTCTGTCCTAATGATGTCTCCCTCTATGTCTACACGTGTAGTGATGCTGAGGACTGGTTCTGTGAGTGCCCCCCGCTCTACACAGGCCGACTGTGCCAGTTCAACGCCTGCGAGCGCAACCCCTGCGGTCACGGAGCAACATGCATCCCAAAGTCTCCGTTGGAGGCCGTGTGTCTCTGCCCGTACGGAAGACAAGGTCTACTGTGTGATGAACGTGAGTGCTACAGAGAAGGGCTCCACACAGATCAATGCACCGCAGATTTAGCAGCTTTATAAAGAGGCTGATCTGCAAACAGTTGGTGAATTAGAGCCCTGAGCAGTTGGTAAAATAGTAGCTTCTTGTTAAGTAAAGGGATTAATGAAACTAAATTGTGCTGAAAAGGCAGAAACCTCTTCCTCCAGCAATAGTCAGATAATCAAGGGAAAACTCTATGCCTCTTTGTTGAATACCCCAAATGACTCTTTTTTGAGTTCATAAGATCTTCATATCTTGCTACTGTAGATTTAGCCGTGTGACTCAAAGCAACTTTTCTTCACAACTTTTTTTTTCTTCACAAAATGTCAAGTTTCTGCCTGAACAGCAGGGTGTTCATGTGTTCTCACATTGCCAGCAATGTTATTAATAATCTCGCTTACTGTTACTTGCACCCATCTGTGGTCACTTTTTCGCCATTTAATCAAAGACTAACTTATAACACAAATGGATGGAAACATAAACAACTTCAGAGCAAGTAATTGATGAAGGGTCATTTGCTGACTGACACTAATGTATTTTGAATCTTTTGATAAGTTTGTAATATTCCTGAAATTATTCAAAAATAGGAAGACACATTTCTGTGCCGGACTCTATACTGTTTTAAATACTATGTTTTTGAGTAGTGAAACCCAAATAATGCTGTTATATAAAGTCTCTTAATAAGCCAAGACATAGAAAATGCACAGCTACATTTTGCATTTATTCAAGGACTCCTGGATAACTGATTAGCAGAAAACAAATGATGCCATACTGGACAACTGTTGTTGAATTTGACTGTAAAAACGTGCTGTATTTTTAGCCATGCTAGCAACATGGCTCTGGGGACGGCAATGTCAGATGGATGGTCAGACACTTTGGTCCAGACTGAAATAAATATTGGAAAGATTGCCATCAAGTTCTTTTTAAATGTCCACAGAGCAAGAGTCCCTCCGACTTTGGTGATCCCATGACTTTTCCTCTAGCACCGCCAGCGGTGTTGTCCAATACTTTGCTTAATGACAACATAATGTAGTTGCAAAATAAACATTCACATTTATGTTAAATGCTAATTGGCAAATTCTAAACTTAGATGGGGACAATGGTACACATACAGTACCTGCTTTAAAATCAACAATTAAAGCAATGTAATGTTGACTATGCTAGCATGTTAACATTAGCATTTACCTAGCTGTAGACTCCTGTTTAAACCAAATTGGGATAACCTAAGAAGGTATAGAATATTGTTAATTATATTTTATTGTTATTGGTAGTATAGTATATTTAATGATCTTTTTAAGGTCTCTATTCTAACAGTAATGCCATGAGAGAGGCTTCACAGTCAGTGGCTCTAAGAAACAAAAGGGTTTTGCTTGACTAACCTGACTCTAGGAGCAGCAGGGTGCTTGGCATATAAGTCACTCAGCCATGCCACAGCCTCTGACAGACCTTCAACACCTACATCCTGAACGGAAAATCTAACCTTCCAGTGTCAAACTAAGTATATGGCTGACATTTGAATTTTAATCCTGATTACATCAGATGAGAGCAGAGCTGAAGTTCGCCTGTTTTTTTTCCCCTTTATTTGAGACAAAGCTAAAGTTGTATGTCCAGCAGGGAAACTTTAAAGAGCTAAATGTTTGCTTTAAATATAAGATTTTACCACCTGCAGGTTAATGGATAGGTTTGGTCTATGAGCCAGCCTGTAGAGATAAGTGCTATTGATGCTGAAAGGCCTCAAGAGTCGTGCTCATTAAACATGAATGAATATTCAAAATGACTTCACTCAGAATCACTAATGGTGAACCTGAGTATACAAGTTGCCCATACCTCATGTTAAAGATTCATGTTTAGTTTGTTTGTGTTTAGAATTAAAAGACAAAAATAATTTCCACATGTGACATACACCTAGAGTACTACGGCTCGTTTCTCGAATCCAAGAATAGTTTATCCTCTTTGTCTAACAGAGATGTTGGCCATTTATATTGAGTTACAATGGTATTTTTAATAAAAAGATGTTCCAAGTCAGGGAGGGATGATGTGAAGAAAAGATTTTGGCAGAAAAACAATGTGAACACTGCTTTCAACAGTCAAAAAACAGTGTAGACATTTCATCATATTTTCATAGATATATTTCAAACAATCCATTTTCAGCATTATTCAGAATCAGCACTTCAGTTGAGTATTGATTTAGCAAAGTTTCTGTTAACCTTGCATTGTTCTCAGGTTGAAAATAATTTAGTAGTGGAGACTCAGGAGAGTTGTTGTTTCCCAGCTGCACTGTGACTGCTAAGATGCACACCATACAGACAATATACATGCATTTTTGTCAAAATGCATTTCACAGTCTGACTGGCGCCGCATGTCTTTCTGTTTTTCTTCTGCCGCTCCTTTTGGTTTGCAGCACATTACTCAAATACCCAGCAGTGTAAATGTAAGGTGATACTATTTGACGGAGTGTGAAGTTATAATCCATGGATGCATTTCACAGCTACAGTCCATGAGCTTCTTTGTTAGTAATATGTTCAGCAAGCACGTGACTTTCACCAGCACTGAACCTCATTCTGAAGTATAATGCAATGATGGGTTTTTCTAATAGAACCTCAATTATATCAGTAGACATTATTCATTATGCTGGTGGCTTCAGTTCAATTAGTCACATGTGGGACGAAAACCTAAAAATGTAATCAGTTATTTATTTCTGAATTCCTATTTACCTTTTCATCACAAGAGGGATATAGACCATTGTGATATTCTATGAAAGCTGTTCGGTTCACCGAAAAGTAACTGATGCTAAAGTCAACCTTTTCACAGGATTAGAGAGACTGTATTATATTCCACCTGCCTGTAGGATAGCTCTCACATGTTGAACTTTATGTTGCAAAAGATAAATCCATGTAAAAGAAATGCAATTACATTTAGATTTATTCTGAAACTTCTGATGCTCCGTTTTTATGGAGACAGTCAGGGTGATGTGGATTACGCTCTCTGTCTCTCTCTTGTAAGCTTGACCCTTTCTACTTAAAGACATTTTAATATAGCAACATTAGAAACTGTGGCACCTGAAGTTTAGATTTAGAAGATAACAATTTCTACTATTATTTAAACAATATTTATAATTAATTAATAAGGAATTCTAGCATATCTGTTTTGCTAGATTTAATTAGATAGTACAGTTTGTGATATTATACCAACCACTTAAGCTTGTACAAATATAATATGACAAAGATGCTAGAAGGCACTTAAAGTTCATTAATAAATCAGGTAATCAGAAATGCGAAAACCCAAACTCTTATTTGATAGAAAATCATTACTGAATAACAGAATATCAAATCAAAATAGTTTCGTATTTATTACTGGTCTTTTAATATTTGCAAATATCAGTTTGGATGGGTTTGGACTTTATTTGTACAGTAAGCTCATGGGTAGTGTGTCCATGAACAAAGTAAATAGCCTCTTAATACATTACATGTCACTTGTTAGACGCTTTTATCCAAAGCGACTTACATACTCAATACTGTGGACAATCCCCACTGGAGCAATTTGGGGTGAAGTGTCTTGCCCAGGGACACAACGACATGCTGACTGCAGTGGGACTCGAACTTGCTACTCCCTGATTCGAAGTCCAGCACTCTATCCACTGAGCCACAGCCGCCTCTCTTATGAACAAATCCAAGGTCCTTTATCTTTGTAATCATGGCTCACATGTTTGTATCTAGTCTGAGCTCAGTTGTTATTGTAGGGCATTACAATGATCATGTGTAACATCAATTGAAACACACGCAAAACAGCTAAGTGAGAACTACCTATAGCTGCAACACTCATTTGAGGGAAACAAAAGGCAGATGCAGCTCTACCACTCTGGATACGATAACAGAAGCATTCCCAGCTTTATTAATCATTTAGCAACCACACAGAGCGGAGGGCAGTCGCAGAGGGGAGCTCTGAGCCCTTCTTAGCCGTAGCCTGCGGCTGTAGAAGAGTATGCAAGGTGTTGAAGAAGAGCATTTGTGTTGGTGAATCCTCACTGCTGAAATAACAACAGCACATCGTGTCATTTTTTTACGAGCAGGGGGGGGAAATTACATCGAGTCCCTAGTGAAAAATCAAATGAAAAGAGAGATGGTGTGCTGAGATACAAGAGAGGGCATTATCGAATCAACCATGCATTCTGAATAAGTAAACTTGAGATTGTAATTGAATATCATGGGATTATTGTGCTACCCTTGTGAACATCAGGTATTAAGCGATGCATGCTTGCCAGAAGCTTTTGTAAACAGCTACTAATGGAAATAGAAAAAGGACTGAAGAGGTGATGGTGTTTGAAAACAGGTCATCATCTTATAGATTCAGAAAGGAAAATATTTCAAAAACCCTTGGTATGTAATGTGTAGCAATAGTGCCATCTTTTGGTAACCTGAGAGGGAGAAGATGAATCAGGCTTGTTCAATTCAAGCCACACAGACACAAAAGACCACTAGTCCCATTTTAACACAAATGTGTAAAATAAATGTGTTTGTTTTGCAGCCATCAATATTACTCGTGCCAGATTCAGTGGAAGTGATGAGTTTGGTTACACTTCTTTCGTGGCGTATTCCTCCATCCCGAGCCTGAGTTTCTTCTACGAGTTCAAGCTGAAATTCACACTGGCCAATAATTCATCTTCTTTGAAAGACAACCTGATGCTGTTCGCTGGGCATAAAGGACAAGGTGAGCTCAATTTAGACACCCGCACAGCAATTTAAAACCATTCTACCGGTCAAATGAAAAGACGAAAAGAAACATTGAAACGTCCCCTTAGTTGGATTTTAGTTTTCATACTTCATTAAAGATTTACAAATAAGTGTTCGCCTGCTGTAATGCACTCACTAATGGGTTTTCAATCTCATCAGAGATCCTCCAATCAATTTAAACCCTAAATGGATTTTATTTTTGGCAGATTGAGAGACATTCAAAATGAGTCTTTCTGCAGTCCAATAATTAGTTGATATCCTGGTGCTGTTAACAGCTAACTGTTATTGTTTTTGACTTTCAAAGGGAGCAAGATGGCATTGCTAGCATAAAAACAAACACGTGAACTGAGCATCTCAAAAGTATCAGTGCTAATTGCATTCAACAGTCTTTGAGATGCAGGTGCAATGTGATGCTGTCAGCAGCCATCACTTTAAATTAGGATATCTTCCTGCAGGGTCAGACTTAGTAGCAGGTAACTGCTGTGTCATTGTCACCAGCACATTTCATCAAACGAGGGAGAGGGCAAAGGAATAAAAAAAGATCTTGTGGATTTTATGCACTCGTTTTCTCTTGAGAGTACAATTCATCAAGGTGGAGGCATAACAAAACAATATGAATATGAATAATGAAACGCTTGTCAGGAGAGAGAGCAGCACTGTTTGAAATGGTACAAAGGCACAAAGTAAGAATAGATAAAGAAACAAATAATTCGCATGATAATTGGTTTAATGAAGTGGCATCTTTAATTATTGGGTGGCAGTCATCAAGGTACACGTAATTAAACAAGCAGAGGAGGCAAAATATAGAACAAAACTAGAATTAATATTGCAGCAAACAAACATAATGTATTTGTATGTTTATAGTAGAGATGCAGTCTTACTGATGATGTTTTAATGGCTGTTTAAAATCGCATAGTGTTCTGCATACTACGTACTCAATGCGTCTTATCACCCACAAACCCTATATATTTAAGCAATAGCTCACGACAGGCCGTGGTATATGCTCATTATATCACAGCTAAGGGGCGTGGTTCGGCCCGACGCGAATTGGAGGGTCGGACAACCCCCTTAGCCATGGAGTCAAATTGCTTTTCAGCCCAACTGTATACTGTTTTTATCAGGCGCGGAGGGATACTGACTTGTTGTGAAAAGTAACTTACAATTCTACCCGTGGTATACGCTCAGTATATCACGGCTAAGAACCAATCAGATTGCTTGATTTGACTTGTCCGTTTTATATTCATATACATATCCTACTTAGTGGTGTAGATCGGTAAATGGTGTAATTGTAAGGTCAGTGTTTGCAGTTGTCATGTCTACTGTGCTTGTGACAAACTATTTATGTGTCTTCCAGGCGATGATGGTGATGACTTCCTTGTTTTAGGACTGCGGAATGGCCGAGTGGTGCATAGATTCAACCTTGGATCGGGCGTGGCAGTCATATTCAGTGATCGACTGAACCTGCAGACCAACATTCACACCGTTACGTTTGGAAGGTCAAAGAGAACCGGATGGCTGAAGGTGATTTGGTGTTGATAGGTGTCCTTTTTGTTAATAAGAAAGGTATTGGGCCGCCAGAAAGCTTCAATAGACAATTATTCTGGAAAACAGTGGTTCCCAACCTCAAGGTTGAAATCATTCAAAGGTTTCCTAAGGTTAAGGAATCACCAGATAGTTAAAGGGATAGGAAGAATTAATGTGTATTTCCTTTAACAGCATTTTGTGTACAAAATATTTCATGTTATTCCAATCTGACTTTCATGTATATCAAGTAGAAATGTAATTATCTTGTTGTTGTTTTTACTGTATTCAACTTTTTTCCTCACAGTACCACTGAAAGTAAGTACAGTTTAACATCAACCAGATAATAAAAGTATCAGTAGCAAAAGTGCATATACAAGGTACAAGGTGATATTTAACTTTTTTACCGTTCTTACCGCTCATTTATTGGCATTTTGGTCCAACTTTTTTTATTACACTGTGTACATCTGCCCATAAACACTTTAGAGATCTGTCCTGCCCAGTGTAGGTAATGCAGGATGTAAATGGTGTCACAGTACGGTGAATGATTTCTGAAAACACATCAGGCTGCTAAGTACCAACAAATCATTTGTGGTCCAGTGATCAGGAAAAGGATGTTTGCATGTGTGGCTGAAAAACAGAGGTGGGAAGTAACTCAGTATACTTACACAAGTACTGTACTTAAGTACAATTTTGAGATACTAGTACTTAACTTGAGTATTTCAATTTTATGCTACTTTGTACTTCTACTCCACAACAATTCAGAGTTAAATCATGTACTTGTACACGTTACTACCTTAAGTTACTTCACAGATTTTGATACAAAATGTGAAATATAATCAACACTTAAATGGGAGTTAATTTAAACCTGGAGTAATTTCACAATTTACCCTGCAGTATACAAAGTCATTACAACTAGCTGCACCTTTACCAGCTTTGATAACACTTTAATGCATCAATAGCTATAATCAAAACATATACTATATACCATTCTGAGATGGACTAATTTGCATAATAAATACTTTTACTTTTAGTACTTTAAGTATATTTTGATGGTTTACTTGAGTAACATTTTGAATGCAGGACTTTGACTTGTAACAGAGTATTCCTAAACTCTGGTAAAATATCTAAGTGCTGCTCCACCACTGCTGAAAAAGTCTGCAGCAACATTGAAAAGCTGTGGAGGCAGCAAGGCAAAGTTGTGCTTGTGAATTGACATTTTACAATGGCTTTCTCAGGTTGACGGGCAACGTAACAGAACAGGATCTTCTCCAGGCCCCCTGCTGGGCCTCAATGTTTTCAACCAGCTCTTTGTGGGTGGATATAATGAGTACACCCCTGAACTCCTGCCACTTGGATCCAGGTTCCGTAATGGCTTTCAGGGTAAGACAGCAACAGCTTTATTCCAGCCCAACACTGTTGTCTGGAGTCAAAGCACCTGTGCTTCCTCCAAGGATTTCGGTCTATTTGTAAGCAGAGGGGGAGGCGTGTAATGAAAAAGGGAGTTACAGGCTCGGACTGCTGTATGAGGCCTGCACCGAGCGTTGAGGTTGATTGTGCCTGCCCCCTTTAATCACTTCACACCCCTCTGTAGTTTGCGTTGTGCGCAAATCCATTCCACTGCTGATAAGTCACATGAACAAGGCTGCCATACAAATTATCTTTGTGATCATCAACATCTTTTATGCTTTCTCTCAGGTGATCCCATGTAGGATTGTATTCTGGAGAGCATTCATTGTGCTGCTAATGCTCGGGGCTGTGGAGCAAAATTGCCATAACCGTAATGATGACGACAGCTATGAATATCATCATAACCAAATTCAGCAGTCTCTGCACTACAGCTATGAAGCTGGTTATTATAAGATGTCATGGCTAATCCATTTGAGAGGAACAAGAGCTTTTCTGTATTTAAGGACTGGAGCGATTTTGTGTGTTTGCTCATTTATCATTATGTAATTCATTTTTTTTGCCCGCCAAATAAACCTTTCAAAATGGACTCAGCTATGGTACAGCAGTCAGGCGGTGCTGTATCAGCCTGTCGTACTCCCCTGTAATGGTGAGCACTACCTGAGTCAGGCGACGCTGGTGGTACCATAACCTCTCTGCTCGGGATGTAATGAGAACTCATGAGCGTCTAATCAGATCTGTGTGACCTTCCTGGAGCCCTAATCATGATGGCTGGCAGTGAACACACTGATAATGCACTTCACTCCCAGTTATCAACAGATCCACACTCCCCTTTGGAAAGGTGGCAGAGGAGGTACTGCGGCTGCTGGGGCGGGGGAAAAAATCAGTTACTCTATTTGAGCTGCTGATCAAAAAACATTGAATGAGGAGGCTTGTGTTTTTATATCATGCATATATTTTTTGTTCACACTTGTTGAAAGATATTGAGGGTCAGTACCAGTGCTAACAAAATAAATGGGGTTGTACCATAGACTGGGGTTGTACATGCGTATATCCCTGTGTTCATTTATAGAAAACATTCTAGTGAATGTGATATGGAACGCTTTGAGCGATACATTTCAAATTTGGTACCAACGTTTACTAGGACTCAAGGAGGAAATGATTGGATTTTGGTGACCAAAGGTCGAAAGGTAAAGGTTGCTGTGACCTTCTGCTTTCCTTTCTCATGAACGCCTTGAGGGTATTTCTTCAAATGTTTCATTAATGTCCAACCAAGGATGAACTGTTAACATTTTGTGGTCAAAAGTCACTGTGACCAAACGAAACAAGCTTTTGGCCTTAATTGCTGAATGAAATTATAAAATGATGACTGCAACATGACTGGCATGGTGGTACATTTTATTTGGATTTTTAAAGATTGCCACAGGAACTAAATCGAAAATATTCTGAAACAATTTTTTGTAAGGCGTTTTTTTTCGGTAAATCCAAATTAAATTCAAATTCATTGTGCACATGTTTTTCTCTCATATGTATGATTGCCAGACTTGGCTCTTCTGGTTTCTTATTTCTTTGTAATAAGAGTCATGAGAGCAGCAAAACAAAAAATAACCAGCTTTAATAATCTTCCTCATGAATCTGCTTCGCTTTTGGATGTTTGCAGCTCGGCAACCATCACTTGAGTCTGCCAAGAAGACAGCATCATGCTATGAATATTCATGAATGAGCATGACATTTCCCTGCATCCTGTTTATGCCAATGACTAATGCAGCAGAGAGATGGGAGTCAGCGTGTGCAGATGACTCCATGGCTTGTGCTCAGGCCTTATATTTATAGAAGGCCCAGTACAGGCCAAAGTAAATATTGTCTTGGTAAAATGGAATTATGAAAGCAAAAAGCAAATATGATGAGGGAGATGCATGATGACAGGGGGAAGAGATTGGATTTAAGAACTCGGACATCTTGGATGTGTATGACAGAGACTGCAGATCATTTATTCCATCAAATTCAAGAGTTAACATCCAATAAAAACGTTTGGAATTCAGTATGTATACTTGATATTAACCCCTGTGGTGTCACACGATCCAAAAGCCATTTAACAAATTAACTCAGAGTTGTCCCTTTTTCACTCGTTCTATTTTAAATCCCAATCAGGATATTCACATTTTAGTTTGTCCACTATTAAACCTCATACAGGGAAAATTCAAAATGTTCTGTTTCCTCTGATTATCCCCTAAAAAAAAGATACCCCTCTGACTTAGTGTGTGTGTTTGTCCTTTCCAAAGGGTGCATTTTTGATGTGCAGTTTCGCACAAGAAGAGACAGAAAGTTCCAAGTGCTGGGCCAGCCTGCGGGACATCCAGCCTTCGGGCGCAGCGTGGGTCAGTGTGGAGTCACCCCTTGTGTTCATGTTCACTGCAGAAATGGGGGGACATGCGTGGACTCTGGCTCATCTGTGTAGTAAGTACAAAATAAATGACATTTGGTATAATCATTTTGATTACTTGCACCAAATCCACTTGTGAATGGTTTTATGAATGACAGGGATTCACCCCGACAATGTTTTTGTTCTTGATATTCCCATGAGATTAAACATCAGTATGCTATAGAAACTCAGTTACACAGTACAAGTATAGCGAAAGGAATGACAGCGTTTACAAGCTTTTCACAGAGCCTGCCTGTGTCCGTCTGCAGTTGCCAGTGCCCATTTGGATGGAAGGGAGCACTCTGCTCTGAGACGGTGTCTGTGTGTGATGTGGAGCACACCCCCCCTCCTCTGTGCGCCCATGGCTCCACCTGCATCCCCCTGCCCAATGGATATACCTGCCAGTGCCCCCTGGGGACTGCAGGGCTCTACTGCGAGAAAGGTTGCACCACTGAACCTTAACTTTATCATTATATGTGTTTTTTATTTATTTATTAACACGAGACCTTCACTTTTCAATTATTGAACTGCTGTATCTTTCTGCCTGTGACAGCTGTGACCATCAGTGATCCGTTCTTCAGCGGTAACCAGTCTTCATGGATGTCATTCCCACCTATGAGCATTAGACACAGGACTGTTCTGCAGCTGCAGTTCCAGCCTTTATCACCTGATGGCATCCTTGTCTACACTGCACAGCACCTCAGTGCCAGATCTGGTGAGGACATTAATATCCTGCTTTATTTTTGATAAAATAAATATTACATATGCGGTGCAGAATGTGAGTGTGTTGGTATCCAGGATTACTATATATTTGCTCTCAATGTTCTGCCACGATGGCAAACATTATATATACCAATGATCCTTTTATTCCACGGTATAATAAAAAAAGTAATGATATACACATTGTACTTACAGAAATGTCCCAAATTGGGATCAATAAAGTTCTATCTTATCGTACCTTTATAAAAACAGTCTTTTGAGTAATAGATATATATCAAATTGGAACCCATAATACTGTACTGTCATGTAAAAAAGTTGCTTTAATTATTATTCAAACTGCAAGTATTCCATGTTAAAAGACATCTGAAATCTAGCATATTTGTATCGTATTGTAACCTCATTAATAATGTGTCAAAAAGTCAAAACAGTGTCTAGTGTGATGAAATAAAAGCATAAAAAGTCATGGTATATTACAAAAATAGTATAGTAGTTCATGACAATGTCGTCATATAAAAGTCACAAAGATTTTTACCAAAAAAGTAATAGTTTAGTACGTCATAAGGAGTCATTGTCAAAAGAAGAGGTAATTGTGTATCTCAGAGCCTTTTAACTTTACAGTCAGTAGTTTCCACAAACAATGTTCTTGTGAGTTTGGTCGAAAACTGACGTAAACCTGTTAAATGTCCTTTTTTTTAACTACAAAAACAGTAGGTGAACTGACTTTTTAACAGAGGGACATCACTAAAACTGAAAAGTATGACAATTTTATTTTCTTCCAACAGGAGACTTCTTGTGCCTCTCCTTGACATCGGGGTTTGTCCAGCTGCGGTACAATTTGGGGGATGGCCCCCACATCCTGCAGTCTGTAGAGCGAGTGGACTCACGTGGGAGGACCTGGCACTCGGTGACGGCTGGCCGGGTCGGTCACCAAGGCTTCCTCAGTCTGGACAACAAGGAGACTAGAGAGAATGTGACTGGGGGGATGGCCACTCTCGATGTTGCTACTGACATCTTCATCGGGGGCGTGTCAACCTTAAGCTTCGTCTCCACAGATGCAACAGAAAAGGAGCCGGTGGGCTTCACTGGGGGTTTAAGAGAACTCATACTGAACGGGGAAGAGTTGGAGTTAACAGAGATGGGGGCTATAAGTGGAGCAAATGTGGGGGACTGGGATGGGACCGCCTGTGGGTATACAGTGTGCAAAAACGGAGGACACTGCAGGTCAACAGGAAGTGACTCATTTATGTGTGTGTGTCCGCCATCTTGGACTGGCTCTGTGTGTAACCAGTCCGTAAGCTGCTTGAACCACGTCTGCAGACAGGGTTCCTTATGTGCCCCATCTGGTGTCCCCTCATACCGCTGCATATGCCCTTTGGGACTGGGTGGAAGGTACTGCGACTCAGAAATAGCCACGGACACTCTCAAGTTTGTGGGAAGCTCATATGTTAAATACCAGGACCCGAGATACAACACGAGGAATTTTAAATACACACAGGTTTCTTTCAGCTTTAAAACCAGCTCGAATAACAGTTTGGTAATGTGGATGGGGAAGGCTGAACATGAAGATGACGACTACCTCGCAGTGGGACTTGAAAACGGACACCTCAAAGTTGCTGTAAATCTTGGGGAGAGGCTTTCCCTGCCAATAACTTTCAGAAATGTCACACTGTGCTGCAACACGTGGCACAATGTTTCTATATCTTTAAACAGCACAATTATCCAGGTGGTGGTGGACAATAAGAGAGTCCTCCAAGATTTAGATCCATTTGAGCGTTACGTGGCTTTAAACTACGGAGGTCAGCTTTACTTTGGGGGGTTTGAAGTGTACAGAAATGTATCAATTGTTACTTCTGGGTTGTTTTTAAAAGGCTTTGAAGGAAATCTAAGAAATGTTTTTTTGTTTAAAGATACCAAGCCATTGCAGTTTCTCAGGAATAGTAAGGGATTCGATGTTTACGAGGGCAATGAATAGTAGTGACATTTTGTGATGTATCTGAGGAGATTAAAATGTTATCACTTAAAGGTGGGGTAGGTAAGTTTGAGAAACCGGCTCGGGATACAGTTTTTGTTATATTCCATGGAATGCTCTTAACATCCCGATAGCAATGAATATCTTAAATGCTTTGACAAAAAATATATAAAAAAATGTCATCTGTGGAAGCCGTAGTACTGTAAAAAGCACGACCAATTATTTTAGCCGGCCCGGCTAAAGTAACTGGATGGCCTACCTGCCTGTCAGCTTTCCATCTGTGCACAAACTTATCTCGTGCCCTCATTGGTCATGAGCGCGTTTGTGTGTGTTGGAGGAGGGGCTCTGTAAGGAAGTGGCAGATTTTTTCCGGCTGTGTATTTTCAAATTCTAGCGCACTCGAGCTGGTTTCTCCAAAATTACCTACCCCACCTTTAACTGTTTTAAACTTGTTTCTGCAAAATTGTACTGCTTGATTTCCATGTGACTGATATATAGATCAGGATGAAATCAATGTGATACGGGTAGATGTTTCAGAATAAATGTAATACAACTTTTATGATTAAATATTTCAAACATATGTTGTGAGGCTTTAACATTAGTCATTTTTCCGACGAGAAAAAAATAAAACTAATGTCCTAATGTCTAAAATCTTGTTAATATAACAATTAGAAAGAAATAACACATTTTTTATAATCAATAATAAAAAAGAATTAGCTTTATTACGAACTGTACAGAAACACACAGTGCAAAGGCACACTTCATCTCTAATGTATATTACAAGCCAAAATGTACATACCTTTTCAAAAAAAGTAAGTCTAAAAAATAATTAAGCAATTTAAAAGAATTTAAATGGAGGGGGGGGGGGGAAAGCTGCTGTTCCAAGGTTCTCAGTGAAACGTTTTCTGTGTTACATTCATGCCAACTTAAAATGTCCACCAGATGGTCCACACGTTGTTCGTATGTTCCCACAAGACTGAAAACATTTACTGACTATTTGTAATCAGCACGGCAGCTCAAAAGGAACTGGATATATACAATAAAAAGGTTAAAATGTTTAAACTGTTCCAATATTAAGTTCTTCTTGGCTTGAAGAGAACATGTCTTCACAATCTGACTTGAAATTATATTTCATTTTGGCTGTATTGTTATTAACATAAAATGGGTTACTTCTATGAAGGAAATGGCATACAAACTGTGGACCGTTGTATAAAATAACTAACAACTTGTGTTGAACCGGTTTAGTGACCGATAGTCTTTCTTAAAGCCCCCCCAAACCTTGTCAGGGCTTTAAAAAAAACATAATTAACTGTCTTTTGAGCTTCTCCGTCCATTCTCATAATCAGAGTCCCTCCTGTTTCTTTGTCTGTCCTTACTCCGGCTGCTGTGATCGTCGCTGTGGTGTCTCTCTTTCCTCTTCTCGCCGTAGCGGTCGTCAGAGTGTCCGCGTTGCCTGCTCCTCTCTCTCTCGTGGCTGCGATCGCGCTTCCTCTCCCTGTCGTGGTTCCGGCTCTTCTTCCCGTGATGAGTGTCCCTGTGATGGCTGTGCCTCCCGTGGTGATCTCTGTCCTCGGACGTGCGCGGCCTCTCCCACGGATCGCTGTATTTCTCCTCTTGACGCTTGTGTTCTTTGGCCAGGGACGGAGGTGGGGGAGCTGGTTCGGGACAGCTCTCTGCGTACTGTGATTGAAGTGCAGTGAGAGCGTCTGACGAGCTATTCTGAACCCACGGTGCACTGTGATTCTGATCCTGGGGGGGTGGGCTGGAGAAAGTGTTAGGAGGAGGAGGGCCTGTGGGGTAGCTGCCAGGTACCTGAGGCTGCTGAGATGGGATGGATGCATCCTTGTGTTCTGAAAGAGCTGGTGCCACTACTGAGTCCTGCTTGATCTCTGTGTAACTCACTGCCTGTGGTTCTTCTGCAGGAGCACAAACTGTCTGAAATGCTTTAGCATCAGCCTGGGATGTGCCCGGGTTCTCCTTTTCACTCGGCGGTGATGGGATAGTTGTTTGTTTTTCTTCCTTGGGTTTGCTCTTGGCCTGATAAAGCTGTAAATATCCTTGGTGAAAGAGTGTAACCGGCTCTTTTCTAGCACTGCTCACAACAGGAACAGGTTTGGGGCTCAAAGGAGCGGGGTGGCTTGCTTCATCCTTTTGTAGCACCGCTGTTTTATCCTCACTCACACTGGAATAGGCTGAAGATTTTTTCAATATTCCACTTAAAGGAGGTTTGGAGCTATTAGCTGGAGGAGCCATGGGTTGGGGCTGCGACAAAGAATTCCCTTCAGATAGTGTTTTCTCACTCTCAGACAAAAGGCCAACGTCTCCTTTGTTTGCAGAAGCAGCGCTGCTGGTTTCAGTCCCACTCTGCGCTGCTGAAAGGCTCGCTAAAAACGCTTCGGTCGATACATCTGGAGGCTTATCTTTCAGAGAGACTGGTGCACTGTGGGTCACCGCTGCGGCATCCTTTCCTGAGTTGTTAGCAACAGATGTAAGAGTCGGGCTGGGTAGCGCCGGTTCAGCTTTAACAGATTTAGCGTCTTTCTTCCTGATGACAAAGCGCTCTCGTTGTAAAGCAGCTGTTGGACTTTTTAAGCTCCCAATCGAAGCCTCTGTTTTTGGAGCTGCTTGGGTCTTCTGGGTATCATCTGCTGTTGTTGCAGGTTTACCTCCAACATCTGGCAGAGGTGGACATTCCCCACCCAAGCCTAATAACACACCTGGAAGAAAGCGCAGTGGTTTTCGGGGCTCCTGATTGTTGGGCTCCTCCGATGCAGATGGTTCTTCCGAAGATTCTGTAATCGGCTCTTTAACTTCTTCCGTAGGGTTAAGTGGTTTTTCATTTTCTTTTTTATGTGTAGTAGTCAAGGAGGAGATGAAAAGTTTCTCCTCCTCCTCTTGCGCTCTGGTTTCTTTTGTGGAAATGGTGATGGGCATGATTTCAGGAATAATCCTGGCAGTTTCGTTCATGTCCACAGGAAGAAATTCCCTTTTAGGTGCCTGGCGAATGATGAGTCCAAGAAGAAGGTTGGCACGGTTGTTTTCTAAACCTGTCAAAATGAAGAGATTAAGTCAAATAAGAAATGTAATGTCACCTACAGAGAGGAACATAATTCATGTTTCATGATCTTTACCTGGCCCATCAAAGGGAACAAGCTGATGTGGGACTTTTTCAGTGGCACCCAAAGGAATGATATACATATCCTTCACTTGTTTCCGGTTATTGGACACCACCCCGAAACGCCTACGACTGCTAAAGTAGGCATACAGAAGAGTATAGGAGATCTCATCTTCGTCCGTCTCGGGGGAAAAGCGGATCAGGCACACCTCCTTTAATAAAAGAAAAAGCATGCGTCAGTAAAAAATCTGCAATCCAAGTGCCAGAGGTTTGCACATAAATCTTCAATGGAGCAGCTTTATAATGCATCACATGTGGATGTTAATTGTAAGGACTTAAGCTGCTCTTGATCACAATGAAACTTATGTAATTCTTGGTGATTATATTTAATGACAGAATTTTACTACAGGCGGTTTAATCCCTTTCAGTGGGAAAGCTGCCAAAAACTCACTTTAGTTCCCATTGCCCGAATCTTCTCCAAGTAGTCCCACACTATCTGTGGAGTTATTCTCCCGCCAACTTGAATGCTGTCTGGAAGGTCCTGTTGAGAGAGGAAACAAAGATCCAACCTTAGTGGCAGTACTTAGTCTAGCTACTCAAACTCAAAATATATTCATTGTTTTCCACGTTACCTCAGTCAAGTTGTCCAAAGTGCCTGAGACAAGGAAGGCTTTTGTCATTAACTTGGCCACAGCGTGCATGTGAACGAGTCCTTGCCACAGGCACTTCAGATTGGACAGGAAAGCGGCTTCTTCATCTCTTCCAGCTACATGATCCGACCTGTGGCGAATACAAAATTGAGCTAGCTTGCAAAAACTAAGCTTGTAGACGAGAACCACACATTATCAGAAATGACTGTTTACCTTCCATCGTAGCCTGACTGAGCGCTTCGGAAGCTTTCCTCTAAAACGGTGAGGTGCAGGTCGTCCTCTGCAGGGGCTCCCACGCTCATCGTCTCTTCTGATTTGGTGGACTGCCTCCTGACAACTGTAGTGGCAACTTTAACCACCTTGGTCGGTGCCTCCTCCACAGGTGGCGCCATACGACCTATTTCAAATAAAGAAACAACACAAGTTGGTAACTGAAGATAATGACAGCAGGAAAAAACATAGAAAGTGGTGATGTCATCTAATTTACTACTGTGGACCAGGGCAGCAGCAAAACTAATTTTAGCAACCTAATAGTAGAACTTTATATGCTAAATTTTGAATATTTTCACCATCTGACATAGTGTACCGATACTTGAAAGGTACCGCGATACCCTGCCGTTAAAAACGTTACGATTCCTCCGTTTCATTAGTATCGGTACTTTAAGAATGGCGGGGAAAAGCACTCCGGTGAGAAAGCGCCGTTTTAATAAGAGCCGTGTGTGTTCAGCGCTCTGCTTCTAGTGCCTGCAGTCCCTCCCCTCTCAAGCACGCTCTAAGTCCCTCCCTTCTCAAGCACGCTCTAAGTCCCTCCCCTCTCTCATGCACGCGCTAGCTGCCAGAGCATGTGAGAAAGCGAGAAGCATGGCTGCAAGTGGGAGTGGAACTGCCGCTGCGCCTCGGCTTGTTGACAAAAAAGACGAAGTATTTGAGCTATATCTCTGACAGTGAGGGCAAGCCTACGGACACCACGAGGCCTGTCTGTGAGAAATGTTTTAGATCCCTGCAAACCAAGGGAGCCAACACATCAAACTTCGCTAAGCACCTCGCCAACCGGCATCCAGACAGGTTAGCGAATGTGATAGATAACGTAATTACATCATGCTCAAGCCCATGCCCTCAAATCTAAGTCAAACCAGTGTAATTTATTTTGTGACAAATGAACGTTTTTGTAGTTTGCCGAGGCAATTAATGGCAATGATAACTGTCTAATATGGCTATCTTTTTAGCTAATTTACCAATGTGGTTATGGTTCGAAATATAAAGCACAATAATTACATTTAAAACTGTTTCCCTTTTTTTAACAAAAGTATCGAAAAATAATCGGAATCGCAATTCTTGACTTGGTATCGGTATCGAAACCAAAATGTTTCGTGACAACACTAATCTGACATTACCATCAGTCAGCCTTTCCCTACAGGCAACTGCCTCATCAAAGCCACCAGACCCCATTGAGAAAAACTGTATGTTTAGCTTGCAGAATAGTTGCTTTTCTACTGTTCGTTTGTGGTAAAAGTGTCATTTTCAGTTTTAAAGGGTTAGTTCAGATTCACCAAACTCGTACAATAAACAGGTCAGCGGTTGACCAGCATGTCTTGAGTTCTGCAAGGTAAAATACAGGTTATCTTAAAGAAGTGTCATATTGATTATCCCTGATTATCCCATTGATGACTAACATTACAACTTTTTTATTTCAGGGTTTACCTGTGCAGATTTTGCAGTGTAGGTCAAATAAGTGAGACTTGTGTTGGTTGGTTGTGTCTTTCTCTGTACCGGGACCCTCTGCTTTCTCCTCAGGGGTTTTTTGAGATTCAGCTG